TGGTACGGTGAATTACAGATCTTATCAGATTTGAAAATATCACGCAGAACAGGATATGGAGACAAACAAATTTGGACTTTGCATGTTCTTTGCGACTCGAGCCAGAGAGCTTACGCTACCGTGATTTTCTAACGTTGTGAATACAATGGTGACACCTGTGTAAATTTTCTGACCGCAGAATCTTGTGTTGCACCTTTAAAAAAGATGACAATACTGCGTCTTTAACTTTAGCCTGTGTTTTTTAGCCTGTGTTTAAGAGTACGTCTAGAGAAGAGAGTTGTAGAGAGTTGTTGTCTGTTATAGAGGCATTATCCTTAGACGAAATTGAAAAACATTACTTTTCTGATTCCACAACAGCCCTGTCATGGATCAAGTGCAACTATCAATTGGGAACTTTTGTAGGAAATCGTGTCAGAGAGATTTGTGCATTTTCAGAGATCAGAATCCGGAACTAAGGGTTCATGGTTGTCTTTTTAAATAATCACTCCAGCTGAACAAAAAGAAATTACAGTTTGTCTCAGGTAATAGAATCATACATCAAAATAAATAGCTCAAAGACAAAGCGAATGTCACGCAGAACCTTGGCAGCTTACGAGAAATATCATAAATTCTTTTTATCACTCACAAAGTGTATTCTAAACCGAAATTCACGTAAATGCGTTTTTGAACCGTAGCTTTTGAGACCAGGTTAGCAACTTATCCCTCCTGGCTGTTGGAGCAGTATTTATTAAGTGTGGCACTGGTTTTTAAAAGCTTCGGGAAAACCTGGTCGTATAGCTACGAAAATATTTTACCCAAAACTTCCGTAAAATGTCTAAGATGGCAAAAATTTACAAAATATCGCCACATTGTGATCAAAATTTGTAACCAGGGCTTTTCAGCAGCGGTTTTGTCAATATCTTATGTTTTAGTTGTTATATTTTAACAATTTAATCACTATTGAATTTAAAATGACGAAATCTGCTGTTAAACATTTTTGCTTAAAGTATGTGACTATAAATACACTTATATACAAAATAATTCCTGAAACTATTATTCTAAATTCAAAAAATGAATTAAAAAAATCTAGTTTTTTTAACTTTTTGTGTGTTACCTTTATTTATTAAATATCATGTTCTTTGCACTTAAACCATAAAATTCAGTTCAATAGCAATGTCGCAAAATAATTTAAAAATGAGCATATATTTAGAATTTCCGATACATATTTCCGCGTGCTGGAGATAAAAAGTTTTTTTTTTCCCTGTAGAGTGTTGCCATTGCTCGCTTTGAAATTGAGTTTGTTAATCAAAAATTCGTTAAAGTTTTACAAAATATGAAATCGATCATAAAACAAATTCCAAATTTCAAATTTGATCTTCTACATGCCCGTATTCGTAGGAGTCATTCAAAATTCGATGGCTCTATGTACCGTTGTTTTATTACAATGCGAGAAATATACATACATTTATGCAGATTTTTCATTATTTAATTTCTTCAAATATAATACAGGACTCTAACATTTGGTAGCAACAGTTTGAAAAGTGGAACGGAAATTTATAGTGATTCAACGCAAAATCGCGAAACGAAAACAATAGTCCTTCAGAGACAAAGTCCCTTTGGACTAATAATAAATATGGAATCATACAAGTTATCACAACAGTATACAAACGTAGTAATGCAATTAAAAGGATTTAAATATTTATAGAAATTTAAAATATTATACTATAATTATGGCTTAATGAAATCACAGCGTATATCGGCAAAGAATATTTAATATTATCAGTTATGTTTTATTTTTTCAGTGCGCATGATCATTTAGTATTCATTAAAGTTTTATGTAGAACTTACAAATTTAAAAATGCGAATGACTGCTTCAAATTTCTATGATTATGTAGATAGTTTAATAATAAAACCTAAGAATTTTAAATATGAATTTTATTTCTTTATACATGTTTAATTTGTGTTCAATAACTGAGAAAAATACGTCTTGCATGACTAAACATACATTTTTCTATTTGAAGATAGATTAAGTATACTGATCAATGCTGAAAAATTTTTTAAAATATATATATTGGGATTTTTGGTAGTAAAATTCCTTGATTAATAATTATATTCTCTTGGTTTAATTTAAATACCTCAAGTAAATTTTAAAAAATTAAAACTTGTTTTTGTTGAGGTAATGGAGCTATATAAAAATGAGCAAATATGGCAGCATTTCTGTTGTTCTTCCTTTGAAATAACTAATTAATTTTTCAATTCCATACTTTATTATGTGGTTTTAATACTTACACGTCTCTATGAATCTTCCTCTTTAATAACAAAACTTCTTTCCCTAATTTTCCTGAAAATAAATTTTATTTATTCATTGAACTCAATGCAGCTTAATGAATATGATCTTATCTTTCGAGAAAAATTTTCTCTACATATTTTCTGAAGATATATAAAGAAACTAAAAGCCTTTCGGATTTGTCTACTTTATTATTATTTGACGGTGGTCTTCTGGTTAATTAAAAGCATGTTACTTAGATTTTTTAAAAAAGCTGATTTAGCATTTTACTGTCGTTCTAGAGAAAATTAATTATATGTATCTTCAGATGGTTAAATCTTTTGCGAATAGCAAGAGCGAACTAACTTCTTGACTGATGAATTATTCAAGTAAGTATTTAGCTTCTTTCCTATCTTCCTATAATTAAATGCATAAAGTTTGATTTTTAGCGTGTTCCGTAATATTTTGATCATTATTTCGAAACAAAAGTGACTTATCCCTTCACTTCAGATTAAACGATTTGGTTTCCATGGCAGCAAATGGAATACATTTTTCGTTTATTTATGAAAAGATTCTTTCGTAACTTCAAGGCACATTTATTAGCAAATATGGACTGACTTTTGATGCATTGAGTAATCCAGATTTGTGCTATAACACTTGACTGTATACAGTGATTTCGGATATTACACTGACATTGCTTGAGGTAAATACGCTAATCTCCCCATTATAAGAACACGTTTTTTTTTCATTGTGTACTTATTAAGAAATTTGGACTCGCTTTCAATGTATTTAAATTACAATGGTCTATTATAACACTTTCCGACATACAGTGATTTCGGACATTATACTTGTGTTATTAGAAACGGAATGCAAATGCACTAAATTTGCCATTAATAGATGATTTTGTCATAACGTCTCGATGTATTAGTTAAGAAATATCCAACTATTTTGGATGTATTGAGCAATCGATGCTCTTTTATAACGCTTTCTATGTATAACGATTTCAGATATTACACTGGTGTTGTCAGAAAGGAAACATAAATACACTGAGCTCCTCGTTGTCAGAAGATGTATTAACAAACATAGATCAAATTTACTAAATATTACTGAACGATTTTTGATAGGCTTAGCAATAGAACGCTCTATTACAACGTTTTCTGATATATGACGATTTCGAATATTACGCCTATGCTGTCAGAAATGACATGAGAATACACTGAACTCTTTATATAGAAGATTCTTTCATAACTTCACGGTGTATTAACAGAAAACATATATGGACTGATTATCGATACATTTGTAGGGAATTTTACATTAATTATTCAGCCATTTGTAATTTCAGCCATTTCTAGATCTTCTTGTTTCCGTATTCCTCACCAGAATGCAAATGAGTGGCCAGTATTTAAAATGAGGTTTTTCGATTTGAAGACAGAGTATGTTTCCGGGATCGTGTTCACGCGACTTGTTAGTTTCCTTTACGCTCTGATAGTTGTAATTATTAGGCGTTCCGTTTGCTTCCTGCCGACATTTTATTTCTGACGCTCCGGTAGAGTAGTGAACCAGCTTGTAGTATACTAATTAATTGTGCAGTCCTTCACTACTGTTCCACGTTTATCTTAAATCTGACTGTTTTATTTTGTTGCAGCACTTCGAGTTATTGTTATATTATACCAAAAGAGACTGCTTTTGTGTTCTAAATTCTGTTTATATAAAAAGCTTATTTTTAATCTTCTCATGACTTTGCCATTGTTTCAGACATAGCGATAATTTACTTCACATTTATTAGGGTTATTGGAGTAAATCAACATTACTAAATCAAGTATAATTCTACACACTGAATGATCCAACGATGTGCATAACGCTTTTACATAAGCGATTTCGGACCTTACGCTCTTGTTTTTAGAAATCCTGGTCTTTTCTTTATCAGAAGATTCATTCATAACTTCATAGTGAACTCATAATAAAATATGGACATCTACTTTGTATACTATTATAGTGATGCCAGAAACGAAATATAAATACGTTACACTGTTCCGTATATTTGTGTGGTATACACATCCCATGCATTATCTGCGTATCTTGCCCAAATAAAATTAAATTCATTGTGAAAAATATCAAAATCACTTGTAAATATTCAAAATCAGTCACAGTTTTGGGCTCAATTTCATTGCTAAGCCTAGAATGATATTAAAAGCTTGACTGTAATACATGGCTGAAAGATCTAACTATCGTAAAGTAGAAAAGAGAAAGTTTAGCTGATGAAAATATAACAGAATCGAGCTTCATTGAAATTATTTCTGGTTTTGAATAAGCTTTAGAGAAATTCAGTCACTTGACCCCAGTATCGAATGACCAGCTATTGAAGATTTAATCATTTCTTTTTTTCCATTCGTTTTAATGCCCTTTCAATCTGACTGATGTATACTGTTGGGGCATTCGAAAGGTCCTGCTTTTTTTTATGACACAAAGCATTAGAAAACACATTACACAACAGAAATGAAGCATTACAAAAGCATAAGGGACTTTCATTGAATCTCATATGTATCATTTTATTTTATGACTTTTTTCCATATCTCAAATGCTGTAAAATGCCTTTTATTTAAAGTAGTTCGTAAAGATTTTATTCGCTAAAGTTGTTCCTAAAGACATTATCGACGTGATGTTTGACAGTCTCCAAACAAGTGAACTCCAAGCTAGTCAGAAAATGTTGAAGCGTTCTGAAGCGATGAAAATCCTAGAGAAGGTCTAGTAGTGGATGGCACAAAAGTTCTCAGCCATACTCAACAATTTTTTGTCAGCTACTTTTCTAAATGTGTGGCTGAGCACTGTCATGATGAAAGACAACACCTCGAAGAATGGTTAGTTTTGGGTGTTTTTTTTTTATTTGTGTTTTTGGAACTGCCATTTGGAAGCAGTGGTTTTAAGAATTTATTGTACGAGTTGGTGGCAAAAGAACATAACATAAAATTCATTTTCAACTCTACTATACAAAAAGCATTTTCTTTCTGAGATGCGGCTCCAATCTCGATATTACTAAAAAAACCTTTTTTGAGTTATTCCGTGACTGTTCGCTTCTGATCTCTAGCAATGTGCCATTTCGAAAATGGATCGTCGTTTTCTTTTTTTAACATGACATGTCAAAATTTGAGCAAGCATATTATGCTCTCTCATGGAATACCCATATATCGTAGCAGTTTCAGAGCTTAAACTGAGCCAGAACCCTGCTCCGGTATTTCTTAATTCTCTAAACAAATAGAAGTTCGAATCAGCTCTAAATAATTGGACACCGGCATTTGTTTCGTGAAACTGAGCCACAATTTCAACAGAAAATTCTTTTAATTTCGACAATTTTATTTAAATAATAAAATTACATTTAAAACGATTCTCTGAATGCATGCCTCTCTTTTCCTGGGAAGCAAACCATTGCTCGGACGTTGACACATTTCAAGAAAGAAAAGTCCCCGCAAAATCTCAAATGCTTTTTCTCAATGAAGTGCAATGAATTTATGATTTCGGATAAATTTTTAGTTTTACTACTAGTTCCTGTGAAAAGGCATTCGAAGACTTTCAGGAACGATGTAACCAAATACCGAGGATGAAAATTGTCGCTTATTTCTTTGTTCAAAACTAATCCATGGATTCAGAAAAAGTTCTCCCATCATATTCTGCGTGACAAATAAAGTTATACTGGCAAGAGTCACGGTCAGAAACGTTTTGGAATCTTGTTTGTTTTCATACCTCAATAAACATTTCCCTTGAGGTTTTCTTTCTTTTTATATCATTCTGTCAATTCTCGTTAGTGACGTTATAAGGTTTATCCTAAGTTTATAATAGTTATTTTTAAGTTTATGCACCTTTCCTATCTCTCCTAGCTCTAGCTTACAATTTCTTACCAGAGGTTTTAGAATCGCGTTAAAAGCAAATGGGATGAAGTGGTATTTAAGTCGAAGTTCCAACTGACTTCGAAAGAGAGAACGAGAGTTTCTGAATAACGTGCGTTTGCATTTTGACTGCGTCTCTCTAAGCTGTTATTACGCTCGGCCGTATTACGTTCCTTGATAGCTTCTCTAGATAATTCCATATTTAGGGACCAACTAGTTTGGACCTGTGTTAGCTTCGGCTAAATCTCTTTAGTTAGTCATTAGTTCGTTTTTATTTCTTACACTTTTGAGTTTTAGCCCAAGTGGAGGCTTTACTGTACGCCCTGAGAAAGCGGCCGACTATATATCTTTATTTTGAGCAATAAAGGGTAGTTAACTCTTTTTAAGTTTACGTTTCTATTTCTGATCGTAAGCGATGATTCGCTTAGCTGTTCATTAGGTTCCTCAACACTTGGTTAATAGACAGCTGATAAAAAGAATGATCTTCTCTTCTGTCATGTCTTGATATAGTACATTATACTGTATATTCAAGGCTTATATTAAGCTGGAGCCCGGTTGAATTATTTCAAACTTTTGATGGTAATTGTAATTCTAGAAGGAGCTCTAAACAAGATGTAGTTTTGTACTTATTTGTTTAGCTATTCAACATTAATTTAATAATTTATTAAATTTTTATTTATCTCATTACCTTGTATTGAATTTTATTTTTAATGTTGATTATTTTACAGTTTTATTTATTTATTTTTGTCCCTCTTTCCTGACGATCTGCCATAGGGCTCTAGAGCATCTAATTTAAAAAAATTAAGCCCTGAGCAGCTTACATTCCCATTCTTCTTCAAATGATCATGTACTTTATTTTTGGAATATTTATTCTTCCTCAAAGTTGTAATATTTATTTTGTCTGACTGACTGAACCGTATAACGTGGATTTTCAGTGATAGCCTCTTTTAAAATACCCTTGTTTGAGAGGATGGTCGTCTATAGCATCGTTTTCGAGAATAAAATTTCCCGTTTAAACTTCCTAAACCTCCTTCCAACCGTGTCATCAGAAATAGCACTTTTTTCGTATAAAGCAGGAATTTTACGAGCAGTCTCACTAACACTTTTTCCCTTTAAAAATAAAAGATCATAATACATGACCTTCTGGTTTTTGCATTCTTATACTGCACTGAAACAGAAATTATACCACACAACACGTGCTAAAATTACAGAATGTTTGCAGAATGGACATTACAGAATGGACGTATTTAAACATCCGCTTCAGTCAAAGTCATGCCGTGTCAGGAGCAATAAAATAATTAGAAGAAAATTAATTTTTGTCTTTTTTTGGAAGTCTGCGGCACACTACGGCTCTTCGATTTGAAAAGCCGCAGTGTGTTGACCTAATAAATCGCAAATGTTTAATGGATGTTCACATTTTTTGTATGAATTAAAATCTAAATATATCTTTAGATGCTGAACAATGAACTGATTAACACGACAGGAAATTACTTAAACATATGGAGAAAGTAAACTCTAATACGAATTCCGTCATGCCTATATTAATTTCTCCGTAAATGCAGTTTCCCTAAATGCGTTGCACCTAAATTACTTGTTTAGGTTTCCATTTACGCATTTTGTAAATTTCAGTCTTATTTACATCCCAGTGTGCATACATACTAGCACATATATTCATGAAATGAAAATCTGTTGTAGAATGTATGCTTTGTTACAGCATCTATTTCGCTCTCTATCTATATATATCTGCATATATTTATACATTAAATTGGAAATTTCTCTTTCAGTACCCCCAAGAGAAGTTATTATCATGGACGAGTATGGGCAACGGCTAATGGAAACTGTTGGACCAGTTGATGAAGGCTCAAACATAACGCTCATTTGTGAAGCAGAAGGAGGTAAGATAATTTTGATTTATGCTTCAAATTAATTGGAATGAATAGCGAAATATTTTGCTTTGAAATGAAACAAATTTCGTGCTTAATTTTATAAGCAACAATACGAAAATATGCATTTGAAACAAAGCAAATGTAGAACAATTGTGCTTCACTTTATAGTTGATTAAAATGCTAAAATATTCGATATAGATCAGTATAGGTGGTTTACGTGATTTTCATAGAACTTCGGTAATGCAGAGTTTCTCAATGTATACGTTTCTCGAAATCTATCCTTTTAATCCTCCTAGACTTCCAAAAAAAGGCAACAATTTGAATTTAAATTAACTGTATGCAGTTATTCCACTATTCATGAAAATCTCTTAGTTTTGAAATTACACATAGCAAACGTTCTTGCAAAAACTAGCATTTCGCGATATATACCGATTACCTTACCTATGGACACTCTACTGTTAACAATAAAAGATGGATTTGTCGCTATGGCTGTGGTGCTGCTTTCCAGCATACATCCAACCACAGAACGACTATGCAAGAATTGGCAGGCTCATCTATATTATTGATGCGAGTACCAACATTTATTTGATTTTTTGTTTTATTTAATAAGATCAAAATTTCCAAATTATAACAGCTTTGAATTATTAAATATAAATATAATGTTACGGATTTTGAATTTAGTTAGCTATTTTTGCTATAATTATAATGAAAACTGTTTTATACCCCCTTGCGATACAGCGCGAGGCATATTTTAAGAGAAAGCTACACCGGGAAAGTAAAAATACGTGCATTTAACATTTAAATAAATAGTTATCTCGTAATTTATATTGACAAGCTTCGCAACTGAATAAATCTAAGTGACTACTGTGTTAGCTGTGATTGTAATTCTACTATTTTGCTTTCCAGAAATCTGGAGAAAACGGAAATTATTGGAACGTTCTCGTGCCCGATTAAAAAGCCAGAAAGAAACATCTCAGTTTAGTTGTTTATTTAGCTGCTGTAATTTTGAGATCGGTTTAGCTTTCTCTGCGCTTTGGATTGCGTTTTATTTAACGCTTTAATAGTTAAAATATAACTACTGCGTGATAGTGTGATATTGTAAGAATATCTTTGTAGGAAAAAACATCCAGCGTTTTGTTACATTTCTTGTGATAGGAATAAATTTTATTAAGATTTTATCGGCTTGTACATTCAGTCTATTCCGAGCCGTACGCATGCAACAATAATTTGTTTCTATTAACTTAATATAAATATAAATTTAAAAAATTTCAATTTATTCTGTTTTAAAAATTTAAATACATTGGTAATAACATATGCTAAACTTAGCTTTCCGATGGAAAGAGTAAGGTGGTCCGCAGAATGGTCTAATTTATGAAAGTAGTTACCGCTTGAAAGAAATATAAGAAACGTTGACGTAATGCATCACATAATTTCAAACGTTATGCTGTGCTTTTGTTGTTAAGAACATACTAATTTTACTGATGTTTAATATCAAATACGAATTGAAGACATAATGTACAGATCTCTAGCCGTAATGTAGGCTAAAAATATATTTACGCTTTAATGTAATTTTAAAAGGTGAATACAGTATGTACTCAAAAATAAGTCCTTCCTCAAATATTATATCCCAGAATAAATTTTAAGACATAAAAGTGTAGGTAAATATTTGATCAGAGTTCATGGTTCGTTAAGAATTATTGTTCCCGCTTCGAATGAAATCAAGCTAACTTATTAAAAACAGTATTTTATTATGGAAGAGAAAAAATTAGCAAAGAAAAAATTAATATCTACTTGTTTTCATGCGTAATATTTACCAGTGCTATGAATACAGACCTAAATGGAAATCGCTGAATCAGTCATGGGGTGACTAAAATGCTAATTAGGGGCCACTAAGTAACTAACTTATAATTAGGCGTAACTAAATAACTAGCTTTTAATTAGAGGTAACTAAATTGTTTCTATATATGGAAATTACACGTGCGGTTTACATAGTATTTTAATAGTGTAAGTATTCTGTGCAGTTATACCAATTAAAATTCTTCGCTTCATTCTGCAATTTCATTTCTTAAAAGACCTGATTATAAGACACTACCAAAATTTTGAATGAAATATGAGGTTCAATATATATGATGAAAAACGAGGTTCTTATTTTCGAGTAAATACGCTACTACAAATGCATTCCTTTTCGACACAAATATAACAAAAAATCAAAGTGTTGCATAAAATGATTTTAAAACGTTGAAAATAACAATTGCCAAATTTGTCTTAAATAAGAATATGAAACTCGTTTGACAAAGCTTTATTATATTCTGAAGACAAAGCACAACTGGTCTGAAATCAGCTTCAAGGATTAGTTTTAAGACACCTCGCTAACTACTTTAATTTTGACAGTGAACCAAAAAGACTAAAAATAATATTTGTTATTTTAAGTTTGATAATGGCGTAACACGCGAGCTTGGAAGACCTGAAAACTGAGCCATGACGGATATATTAGATGTAGCCCAGTGACGCTGTTGCTGTCTTGTCCATGCATTTCATGGAAAAATGGTTGCTAGAACCTAAAGGAAGTTGGACTTCTGCTTTCCACCCCAATTTTGAGGAAGAGCACCTCGGGGATGGTCCGAAGTTCTCCCACCTTTTCCTCCCCTACCATCAAACCACATGAGAGGACTTTCGGCTAGTCATATATTTGAAGTGCCTCCATGCCGCAAAGACACTATACATTTACAAACATCCATGCCTTTTCAGGGATTCAAACCCGGTCCTTTCAAAACCGCAGTAGGCTTACCTAACCACTATACTGTCTGGGCTGCAGTAGTCCAGTGATAACAGACACATTAGAGTACAACACAGGCCAAATGCCACATGGAGTGGCTGGTGTAATTTTTAATATTTTAAAAAGGTATAAATACTTTGAAATTTATTTCTTAAGTAAAATGAGAATGCCAACTGGTCTTAAATCATTTCCACGTGTTATTTTAAAACTCTCGTGTGGTATGGTAATATTTAGTTTAGTTATGACACAGGAACATCATTTGACACTAGTAAGTTTAACAATGCTATTACTTTGCATATTGTCTAAGCTAATATTAACATAGACATGGTAATTTTATTTTCGGAAATGAGCCTGAAGATTCCGGTAATCTAAATGAGAATGGAAACATCAGACCAGAATTTTGTGTAACTCTTAAAGGTTATGAAGCTGAGATTAACAAATTAAATCAATCATCAATATTTAGTGATAAAATGAAAAAATGCTAAATAATAAAATTATTATTAAATTATTAATTAAAAATTGGAAAAACAAAAAATGCCCCGTAATTTTTCCTTTAACTATGTTTCTATCTTTGCAACATATTCAGAGCAGTTTTTAAGAAAATAAGCAATAACAGTATTGTTTTGATTATTATATACCAGGGCTGTCAAGCAGGGAGGAATTTTCCCCTTTGGACGGACTTTCATAGTTTCAGGCGAGAAAATGCTGTGCTGTCAGTCTTTTATCTACCTACTGAATATTTATTTGTAGTTTATGAATATAAAAATATCTTTTATTCGAGTTTTGGTATTTGTCAACATTTTCTATACGTTTTCGTGCTTAATTTTAAAAAATACAGTAAAAATAATTGTATGCATGCATATTTCGAGTTTTGGAAAGGACGAGCATGGAAAGGTCATCCAGAAACGATAAGAGGCGTGCAACGGCAAAAGGGGGGGGGAATCACTACTTTACAATGTATTTTGGCATTATAAAGATGCAGCGTTCAGTGTTTTACATGAAAAAATCTACTTGATTAGATTTTAGTTGTATTATTATTGTAAAATTTAAGATATGTGGATTGATGGAGCAATTTCTCTATTTATGTATTTCCAGCAGCTAGATTTTGAGATAAGTGATTTATTTATTATTCCCAAATGAGGTGATCCTTATGCTGTGTGCATTCTATTAATAACTATTGGATAGTATACATTGAACTATAATGTAAGTAATTTTCGAGAACAGTATGAAGGAATATGTCTAATTTTAAAACAAATTCAGCCATCTGAATGACATTTCAAGAGTCATTGAAATATTTCGAAAGCTTATACAAATCTCATTCTACTCGAATTAAAAATTTTAATTAGATATAAGCGAATGTTTAGAGAAGAAAGAATATATATTTATCATCGCATTTTAGAAAATGAGAAAGGAATCTCTCATGTTGCTGAATAGTAAGATAATATCAGCAGCTAGCGGATAAAACTATCATTTCCCTAGAATTTTACTTGTAAATGTTAAGTGTCATTATTCAAGAGCTTTTGTTTTTATTTGAATATTGAAAATTCATAAAAATAATTCTTTCTTTTATGATGAATATGGTGAGTTTTTTAAATTTTATATTTTTAATTTTATTTAAATCAAATTATCGAACAAACTATAAAGACTAAATTTCTTTTTGTTTTATTTAAAATAGTATGCTAGTCTATCCTCTTAGCCTGAAAGACCGAATTTTAGTCTTGGGTTTTTACTACAATATCATTATGCTTAATGAATCAGTAAAATTTTAAAAATAATAACTCTCTTGTAAACATTTGTAATATAAAATAATTTAAACCTTTTGCTAAATTCGATTCAAAGTACAAAACTAAGTCTAATAAACAGAAACGCACTTTCGCTTGAGGTAAAAGACAAATAAAGTGGAATTTAAATTATTAGCCCAAACTGGTGTTTGCCCAGAAGTGCTATTTCGTGACATTTCACGTCGAATCACTGTAAGTGACTGTATGAATGTTTAAATTATCGCCTTCAAATATTATCACTCTGTATTATATTTAAAAATTTTAAATAATGAAGAATTTGCATGTATGTACGTATATTTCTGGCATTGTGAAAAAACAACGATACCTAGAGACATCACATTTTGAATAACGTAGTCTTCCATACGAATACGGAAAGCTAAAAGCACGAATCTTGAATTTCGAATTTGCGTTATCATCTATTTCATATTTTTTAAACTTTAAATGATTTTTAA